CGCAAACAGCAAAAGGATTCAGATATGGTTCTCAAGAGCGGTGCGCACTGGCGCACAGTTGCAATATGGCTCTCATGAGCGGTGCGCACAGTGGCCGCCCTATCGGTCTGTTGATCGGTGTGACTTAGAGATGTTTGGCTTGACTACGCAGATAGTCTCAAAATCGGCTTGGATCCAGTGTGACTGCGTAGGCAGTCTCGAAATCGACCCGGTTCCAGTATGACTGTGCAGGCAGTCTCGAAATCGACCTGATTCCAGTGTGACTGCGCAGGTTGTCTTGAAATCGACCTGGTTCTCGTGTGACTGCACAGGCAGTCTCGAAATCGACCTGGTTCTCAGYGTACATACGTTAAAAAAAATTATCCTCAGGCACGGCGTGCACAGGCACACAATTCGATTATGACCCTCACGCATGGCATGTGCARACACACGGTTTGGTCTCAGCCCTCAATTACAGCGTGTGAACAYGGAATTTATGGCCAATCAACAAATGCAAAGCTCCGTCATGATTCGTACAAATCAGATACAGCATGCACACAACGCATGAAGGCAGTTGGAAAGAAGAGGGGGAGGGAAAAAGAGAAGAGAGAGAAGAGAAAATAGGAGAAAAAAAGGGGTGAGAAAGGGAAGGCGAGGGGTCAATCTTGTCCCTCCCTTTCCTTACCCCTTCCTTTGCTTGCCTCCTGCTCGACCTCTTGCCTCCTGCTCTGCGCTCCCCTCATGCTCCTRCTAGCACTTCGCTTCTCTTTGGCTCGTGTCTTTCGCTCCTTGCCTTTCCGGCAAAGCTGCAGCGCTCCCGCAAGCGARAGTTCTCTCGCAATCTGATCCGTGCCACGTGTGCCACGCATGCTGATCTGTCTCGTTGGGTGACGTGGCCTCTCTTATTTAGTGGAGAGGCCAAGAGATCGGGGCTGTGCTGCAGTCCCAGGCCTGTGCTAAAAATAGCTGCAGTCCCGACCTCGGGATATAAACAGTCAGTCCTATTTTTAGAACGGGGCTGGCGCAGGCCCAGTCCCCGGTAGATGAACAGTCAGTCCCACGCTAAAAATAGCGTGGGGCTGTGCTATTTTTAGAACGGGACTTGCGCAGGCCTGACTTTGGGAAACGAACAGTCAGTCCCGTGCTAAAAATAGCACATGACCCTATTTTAATTATTCGGGCCTGGTTGTTCATCTATATGGCTTACTTAGGGCTGTTCCTTTCCTAGTCAGGTTACGCGGTCGTGTCGGTCCGGTCCCAACCGGTCAAACTTAATTATCTCGCTAACCCTTGGTCTGTTTCAGGTGCCGTTTGGACCGGACCCCACTAATTGGCCCATTGCGGTCACGCCGGTCCAGTCCAACGGGGACGATTAGGTCTCCGGCGGACCGTACCGCCGCGCCGTCTTTCCCCTTATTTCGGCCCAGGGGGAAGTCTAACCGATGCGTTAGGACCCAGCTTGACTATGACTGTGGACGTCCCTAAGCGCAGTTTTGACACAGCGTGGAGGTTGACTGCAACAAGTCGATTTCTGCTGCTGCGCCGCATTGTCTTCCGACACCGTTCGCCGCTTCACCCACCACCGTGGAGTCGCCTGTGGAAACCCCCCGCACCCCATCGCGTAGCAGACCTCCAACACCGCGTCGGAAATGGCAGCCACATCCAAGCACTGGCCTGTCGTCGGAAGCGCCAACAGCTTGCGCCGTGCACGAACAGCCGCTTTGAAGTTCRCGTCATTGCTCGYCATCTGGCAGCGGAAGAGGACGGCATTACCTGCCGCATCAATAGYCGTCCCCTCCGCCRTCGTCAAACCGCCGCRCCCTGCCCCGCCGTCAACGTCCATCCCAGACGCCGCTTCCGATGACATCACGTCAATCAAACCACTGGACTCCACAAACACCGCCCCGTGGAAGATCACARCGTCGGTGGCTGTGCAATATCTTGGGAGCCACGCAGTGACGATGGTCGTCTGCCTTTTCCAACGCTCACGTATCGATGTCGTCTCCCTTGCCGCCAACTCGTAGACGACCGTGCTCATCGACGACAACCGCARGGGACAATCGTCACTTATGCGAACGCCACGAACGCCAGCCGCAGACGCAACCAGGCGTGAAACGTAAGTCCACCGCGCGCCGCCGATCGCAAAGCCTGATTTCAAATTTCAAATTTTGAACAGGAGCGCTGCGCGCCATTTCCAAGGGCCCCGGTTTTGTTTTTTTCTCGTTTCCCGCCCTCCTTCGAATTCGCGACGACCAGCAAAGGTGGACCAGCGTCGTCCKCACGGACACAACTCGGTGGACCACAGTCAGCCCCACCCCCGCGTCCGCTTGTGCATATATAAATCGGGGCCGCGGGAGCCCCGAGGAATCGTCCTCGGGGGTCGACTCCGAGGATGAGGGGAACGAAGGCGAAAATTTCCTCGGGCGACTCCGAGGAATCGTCCTCGGGGCCCGAGGACGCCCCGAGGAGTGTCGAACGAGCCCCTCTATCTCGTCTACACCGGGTAGAATTGTGAGGTCCCCGGCCTCGACCACTTTTTCTGTGAAATATAAAGTGACAACTTCTCAAAAAAAAAAAAAAA